GTTCTGTGTCCTATTTCATGGAAGAAATTAAATTCAATTCCCAGACAATAAAGGCAGATGGCCATCTTACTAACAAAACTTCAACAGCACTGCAGTGCATTGGCTTGGCTAACATTTATTGAGCACTTCTTATGTACCAGGCACTGTGCTAAGCATTTTATATGCTGATTCTCATAACAACCCTGCCATATGGTCCCAGCATTCTGTTTATGAATGACTACAAGGAGCTTCAAATAAATAGAACTGCCCATGTCTTACAACTGAAAAATGGAGGAGCTGAGAGTCAAGTCCAGGTGTGTGTGACCCTAGAGTCCAAGGAATTAGGTACGCCATGCTGAAGGAAACTGCATGGGTGGCCGACAGCAGCAGCCAGTGGTTCCCCTGCTGGATCAGTGCGGTGCTCCTCTGAAGGCTGGGGAATGCCACCTGACCCTGACGTCTGTGAGCCCCAACACGTATGGGCTCACGGATGCCAGCGGGCACTTCTTGCAGGTATCTGGCCCACAGATCAGGTTTAGATCGAGTAACACATGTCACTGAAAGTGGAGGCCACTTGCCCATTGTTTCTATAGCCAGACAATGGGCAGTCAATTAAATAACTCCATGAGGTAGTTTGGTTATTACTCATCAATTAAAGTATCAGGACATAATTGAATAGAGAGATGGCGTGAATTCCACCCATACCAACTGAGGTTAAAATGTGGGCAGTGCCCCAGGGTTGCTTTCATCTCTAATTAGTTTTCATGAATATTGGTAAAAGAAAGGACTGAACGATATCCTCAGTAAATGTCCAAAATTTAGAAAAAAACAAAACAAAGCAAAAATAACCCTTTCTATACCTTATCCCTATGGAAAACTACTCTTGGAACAGCACTGGATCAAAACGGACCGTAACAGTCATCTAGCCCAATCTTCCATCCTCTGAAAACACCTCACTACAGCACCCCTGACAAGCGACATCCAGCCTCCGCCTGCATTCCCAGTCCTGGGCATGCCCTACAGCAAACCGTCCTGCCACTAAGCAACCTCACCGACAGATGTCCTTCCTTTCACCAAGGGGAAGCCAGCCTGCAGTCATGGAGCCTGCTCTCTGGTCCTCATTTTGCCCATTGAGATAGCGCTTAGACTTATTTTCTCTTCCTCCTCACAGTTGTCCTAATACCTGGAAACAGTGGGTCTTTTAAATTGCTTCTTTCCTGCAGGCCAAGTGCCCGAGGCACTTAGTAAACCCCTACTGTTTACAGGCATGGGTGCCGGGGCTTCCCCAGAAGCTGGACATGCAAGGCTCCAGGTAAGTGTGACGAACACAAAGTGGGGCTCTTCCTGTCAGCGGTGAGGACACTGGCAGCCTTTTACACTCTATACTGTTCCTTTGCCATTTGCATTACACTGCTGATTCATTCTAAGCCTGTGGCTAATGAAAACCTCTGGATCTTTTCTCAAATGAGCTGTTCTTGTTGAATAAGGTGGATTCCCAATCTGTGTTGCTGACTAAAAATACATGTTCATGAAATAAAGTATTTTGCTAGATATGATCCCATCAGGATCAGTATGAAACTGGTGGAAAGCCAATTCTCACCACCTTCGTGAAAATGGCTCCACGTGTTTTCCTGGGATCATCTGGCACATGCAATCCAAAAAACAATTTGTTACTTACTCATTAGCATTCAAGCTAGCTGTGGCTCTGATGATCATGTAGCAGAGTGTGAGGGCACTGAGGAGGCCAAAACTGGCAATAATAAACCATTCTTCTGTTGACAAAGGAAAGGGAGGAAATCACTCTGGGGAGAAGGTTTAAGTCAAATCGATGCCAACATTTCCCTCAAATGCAACGAAGCAGACGTCAACGGAGGTGTAAGCCAAGGCTGGCCCAAGGAAGTGAAGCAGGAGGTTTGCCAGAGAGCTACTAACTGGAGAAGGTTAGTGGAGTACTGGTGAAAGCTGCAAGGGAGAAAGGAAAGCATGGCCCAACCGTTTCTTCCATTTAGGTCCTGAGGTCTATGAGCAGTGTAGCCACCAAAAAGTGTGTGGTGAAAATATGTATATAAAATTGCACATGGACATAGATTTTTTTCATTGTTAATGTAAATGGCAGTAAAGCAGACTACGCATATTTATAACCTTCTTTCCTTCTTCATTCTGTCATTTCTGCATGGCTTTCATTCTTAGTCAAAGGCTGAGGAGCACGGAGCAGCGGTTCTCCAGGTCCTGTGGGTGCTCCCAGCAGTCTGCGAGCCGGCCTCCCACGGCATCCATGGCTATATTGTTCTCTCTTACGCATGGGCTTACTTGGGATATTTATGTAAAAAGGACATCTCACTGGTGTCTCAAGAAACCAGAAACTGCTCTTCCCGACCCCACTGCTGAGGAGCAGCACTGGCTGTCCAGGCTGTGACACACAGAAGTAGGAAGGGCGGGGGACTGACCGGGTACTTGGCCACCAAAGAGCTGGAAACCTTTGGTGCTTACAACTCTAAGGATTTCCATCTAGCCTGTCTCTCTCTCTCCATCCAGATATTTTCCCTTACTTTTTCAGAGCCAATGTTGTCAAGGTAACATTTTAAAAACAGTATTTATTGAGAACCTCAAAAACAACCTAAGAACCGATCTGACTTGCTAAAAAGTCTTAACTCTAAAATATTTCTTAGAGTACACTGACTAGGGCTTTTTTAACAAACTGTTACACAATAAAATTACCTATATATCTGCAAGAAGGAAGAGAGAACTATTTACACGTGAACTGCCAAATATTTTATGCACAAGCTGTATATAACGTGTGTTTCTCAATCTGGGTTCCACAAATCCTAACCCCGCATGCAAAACTGTGTGTGCCTAGGCCTTTTTCTAGAAAAACATACTTTTGTTAGATTTTAAAGGTGGTGACTTTCAGAAGGTCACGAAGCACTACTCTGGAGGACTTCCGGGTCCGGAGTGTGCTCTATGAGCACTTCTCTGCCCACCTTAGCTTATGTTATGAAAATGCTTAGTAAACCCCTACTGTTTAGAGATCAGTACAGCCACTGCCTCTCAAACTACAAACTTCCTCATCAGTAGATTGAAGCTTTTTATTTAATCAGCATGAACGTTCAAGAACATATATAAAACCCACCATTTTTACCTGTAATGTTTTAAGTTAGGGAAAATGTGTATGGCATTTTAAAAAATCAAGAGCCGAATGCCATCACCATCAAGGAACTTAACACAGTATCCTCTTTTTCCTTCTTGGAGACTTTCACATATGATACGCAGACTACCTTGTAGAACTTCGTCACATCTATGTTTCCAAATTCTGAGTATACCATCCCATATTTGCATGTCTTTGTGTGTGTGTGTGAGATTTCAATTTTAAAAACTTGTAACAGAAGGAAGTAGACACCATCATAAAACACCCAATATGCTGGTGGCATTTCCACAGTGCCCCCCTGCAGCAGGCCTGGCTACCTCTGCCCCCAGTGCCTACTTAGCACAGTGCCTTGCACACAGTGGGTGCCAGTTGGATGCATTGTGGTTGCTATGGTGCTACAGAGCTTCAGAGGGAAAGCAGAGGTAGCTGTGGTTTAGTTCAATCACATGAATTTTATTTATTAACATCATGTGTAAATTCTGCTAAAGATGATTAATTTGGTACATGAAGTAATCTTTTTTATCATCAAAGCATAAGGTTTTGAAAGGACATTTCTATATAAAATATAATGGGATCAGTATTTAATGTAGTAAGTAGTAGGTGCTCAATAAATGTTTGATCAATGAAGGACCTGAAAAACTCACTAATAAACCAACAACCTTTGTGTTCTTTATTGCTACTCAATCAAGTTTTAAAACTGTAGACCACAAAACCTAAACACCAAAGAAAACCATGAAATGCTATCAAAATGAATCACTGAGAGATGGTGAGAAATGAGCCAAACTACGCTCAAAGCATAGTTTTCCCTATTGCATAACTGAATGAGGGCTCTCTGAGTGTAGACAGATGACAGAATAAAACCTGGGGAACCATTTTCTAACAATAATGTCTGGTTGGTTAAAAACATGAATACTTTGATTGAACAGACCACACAAGTCTTAATATGTAAAGGAGAAAACATTTTGTAACAGTGTCATCCATTTCACTGACTCCCAGAGTGGAGTGGGGTCCCACCAGCCTCAGGGTCTGACGCTCTAGGCAAGCAGCAGCAGGTACTGGAACAGGCGACAGCAGAGCAGTAACAAGGAAGATGGGTGAAAGGTTGTTAGATGAAAACAACATGTAAAGAATGGAAGTGAAGAGAAAAGCTGGCTTGTTGAGGGGTGAATGTCTGCGAGGCCCACACACACGCTGTCAGCTCACTCACACCGTCCTCAGGCACTGCCATCCAAATACTCGGCATTTCTCTCCTGCTTGTCGACAGTGCAATAGTGCAATGTGAAGATGTTCATAACCTGCTCACGCTATTTTTTTTCAGGCAGACTGTCCTTTGGCTTTTCTCCTACCTCATGTACAATTATACCAAAGAGTTAAGTGCCAAGAGACCAAACTTCCATAAAAAACTTAAAGTGCGCAACAGGCTATGTTCCAAGAACTGTGAATTTTTAGGTTCAAATTATAGATGAGTTTCCCACTAAGTAGCCTGTAGCCCCGGAGGTGGAGAACACCAGCGCTCACAGCATACAACACACCAGCAATGCTGCTGGGGGCCTGTGTCACCTTCCAACATCTCCTTTTAAACGGCTGTTTGTAATGCAGTGATTTCAAAACAAGGTTTATAATACAGCGACTAAGTCAGACCTCAACAGCTACTCATCAAATGCAGCTATTCCTATTAATTATACACAAACACACCAGCTACTTATCATAAATAAAGTTTCATTCTTCCAAATACCTGTTTTAACAGAAACACACATCCCTTTCTTGGTTACAGTCTGTGCTGCAGGCTGAGGCGAGTGCCTTGACTCTCCTGATGGTCCCGAATGCCCACATAGGCAGCCACATGCCCTGTGCCTGAGCGGAGGCCCCCACTTACTTGTTACTGCAATGTTGATTTCTCCTGTTCTCGGAGTGAGCTCCCCATCCTGAGGAAGAGGTGAGATCCCCGAAGTTCGAAGTGGCTCAAGGCCGAGAGAGTTGTCGCCGGCAAGGTCGCCAAGGGCTGATCTTCGGTTTACAGCTTGGGTTCTGGTGAGCCTTTCCATATCGAATGCTACGTTATCAGTACATGGCAAATTCGGCTGCAAAATATTTCTAGGTTAAAAATAATTGTAAGGAAAACAAATCCTTTCATAAGATTCTAAAGTTTGACGCCCTATTGCAAAGACCTTACTAAGTTATTTCCCTGTGATACCCTCTCATTTATCTGCCCACCTACCTACTCCTCTCCTCTCACCCTAAGAGTTTTTCTTCAAAAGGCACAGAGATCTCTTCTCAGAAATGGTACAAAGGAAAACCAAAATTCACTGCAGATCAGAGAAAACTGGTCATGGCCCACAGGCACAGGGAGTCGTAATCATTAACATAAAGATACCAAACATCCAGTTTAAAACAGTAAACTATTACTTTACTTCATGGTAAATGTCCATGCTGACAGAAAACACCTCTGTCATCCTACTGACTTCTCCGAAAGTCCCATTTCTCTGGGAGTCAGTTTTTAAGTATCGTCTGCCTGTAAACACAAGTAAAGCATCAAACCAAGAGTAGGTCAAAGTTGAAAAGACTTTTGAACTATAAGAAAATGATCTGTTTCAAAACCTAAACACCTAATCCTGAGGGAGAGGTATAGAGCTGCTTAGGGCCAAAGTCTACCAATTAAAAAGTGAGTGCCAAAAGTCTTCCGTTGTAACAATGTGGATGTTTGGTTTACCTAACAACCTTTGGTTCTCTCAGCATGCAGCAGCAGGCCGCACATGAGAAGCAGAGCTGGGAGGGATGGCTGTGAGAAGTTTCTATGTTTCCAGAGAGAAGTTTCAGCCAACCAAACCTGGAACCAATGGCTTTCTGGGCAAAAGAACCGTTTCAGGTCATCTCAAAGCCTTATTTTAAAAAAAGCAAAACACAGCATACTAAGTGATGCTCAGACTCATACCCAGTTAGAAGAGGTTTTTTTATGTTCATTACATGTAAGGATCCATGATAACCTGCAATACATTTTAGGAGGATTTTTGTTATAAGCAGAGGAGAAAACTATTAGCACTTAATATACTTAACAAACAGGCTGGGCGCGGTGGCTCACACCTGTAATCCCAGCACACTGGGAGGCTGAGGCGGGCAGATCACGAGGTCAGGAGATCGAGACCATCCTGGCTAACACGGTAAAACCCCATCTCTACTAAAAATATAAAAAATTAGCCGGGCGTGGTGGCAGGCGCCCGTAGTCCCAGCTACTTGGGAGGATGAGGCAGGAGAATCACGCCACTGCACTCCAGCCTGGGCGACACAGTAAGACAGCCCCAACAAGAAGGGATTATCCAGTCCATGGTGTCAGTAACACCCAATACCTTCAGTAATCCCATGTTAAATGGCATCACCACTGACATGATCTCTGGAGACAAAGGACAAATGGGGCATTACTGCCCAACTGTATACACTGAAACTGTGTTTGACAGTATATTTAAAATAAGATGACTTCGATCTTCTTTGGGTTGCAAGCTAAAATGAGTTCATCTGTTGGATCAAACTAAACTTTTTGTTCCATAAGGAGATTATTCTTTCATTCTTTGAGACCAGAAACTATGTTATTTTCTGATAAAAGAGCGTAACCCTGGATATACATGCTTCTCTTAAGCAAGGACTAACCAAGGTCCTTGGTTACTCAAGTCAGTGTTGACCTGGCACCTGCCACAGCTGGACTCTGGCACACCTGGCGACGGCCCCTGCCAGGCTATGGCTGCCAACAGTTCTCCTTGGGCTTCAGGCACTGTCTGCCTTCTCTGCTTGCAACTTACCAACCCCCAAGAGATCAAAGTCAAACTTCAGGCTAAAGAACATAGTTTTATATTATGCCAAGCATAGAGGAGATTACGACTGGAACAGAGTCAACAGCATACAGCCTACCTTTTAAAAAAAGATGTTGGAATGAAGAAAAATCATGTCCTTCTCTCTTTCTTCATCTCATACTCCTCACCCAACAGAAGCACACTTTTAAAAGTGGACCATGCCAGGTGTGGTGACTCATGCCTATAATCTCAGCACTTTGGGAGGCTGAGGCAGGAGGATCACTTGAGGCCAGGAGTTTGAGACCAGCCTGAACATCTTGTCTCTTCAAAACATAAAAAAGTGGCCAGACACGGTGGCTCATGCCTGTAATCCCAGCACTTTGCGAGGCTGAGGCGGGTGGATCACTTGAGGTCAGGGAGACCAGCTTGGACAACATGGTGAAACCCTGTCTCTACTAAAAATACAAGAAATTAGCCGGGGGTGGTGACAGGTGCCTGCAATCTCAGCTACTCAGAAGGCTGAGGCAGGATGATCGCTTGAACCTAGGAGGCAGAGGCTGTAGTGAGCCAAGACTGTGCCATTGTACCCAGCCTGGGCAACAAGAGCGAAACTCCCTCTCAAAAAAAACAAAAACAAAAACAAGTTAGCCAGGCGTGGTGGTGTGTGCCTGTAGTCCCAGCTACTCAGAAGGCTGAGGTGGGAGGACTGCTTGAGCCCAGGAGTTCGAGGTTATAGTAAGCTATGACGGCACCACTACACTGCAGTTGGGCCACAGAGTGAAACCTTGTCTCTTAAATTTAATAAAAGAAAAAAAAAAGGACTAGTACAGTTATTTACCTTCTCTTCCAGGAGTTCTCTGAGATGGGTTAGACTTCTCAGTAATCTGGAAAAAAGGTCCTGTTGGGCTTATATGGTTACATGGCAAATATAGCCAGTGTTTTCTTGTGTGTCTTAGTCACGCCTCCTATTATGCCAATTGTGTTATACTGCATTACACATACATATAATAACACATAAAAGTGATAACAAATAAAATAGGAAACATACCACAATTCCCAAGGCCTTCAATATATTAAGTTTGCACATAGGACAGGTACAGTGTTCACTAAGCCAGGGATCCACGCAGGATTTGTGGAAAACATGCCTATAAAATAATACAGAGTTATGTCACAAATTACACACCGAGAAATTTATTAGGCCAAAATGGAAACAAAGGGAATTTTTAGTCTGTTTTCCTCCCTTTCAGAACATATTTTAAGCCCCAAGAGACAAATATTGGGAATTTATTAAAATATAACTTGCAGAAAATCTCCTGAACCCAACCTCGTATGTACAACACTGTGGAAGAACTGGTAAGTAGGATTTGGTTGTTTGGACCTTTTATTTTACCAAAATCCAAAAAGGACTAATGGAAACTCAGAAAATTTATTAAGAATGAAAACAATCACACTTTATAAACCAGTTATGCTTTCTACAATAGCTAACATAGAAAAATGGAATTTCAAAAAGATATTAAATCATGGTTAAATGAAAAGAGTTCTCTGTATAGCTATTAGTTTTATGGAACCCTGTTTGAATGTCATTTTTAAAAATTTCTGAGCAATTTGTGTTGAATGTTTATAAAAGCTACAGGGAAGTTGAAACTATTTTAAGGGGTAAACTGTGCCTAGATTCAAGTAACACTTAGCAATTTTCAGCTGAAATGTTAAAGGGGGAGGATGGGTTATTTTCTCTCTTACTGAAGAAAGTAGAAAGCCACAGCCTTGTGACTGGAAGTAAGTCAGTCAGAGGATTTTGCATTCTTAAAAAAAGGAACTTGTGCCTTCTGGAAGGGAAGAAAGACTGCAGGAGCTGCAGAAATTACTTCTCAAGCTCTAGCACCTGGCCCAGCAGCCTTCTGAAGCCCTAGAGTCCTGGCCAAACAGGGAGAAGGTGGGTGCCAGGACAGACATTCAGGGCAGCTTTGGAAGAAACACTAATCTGAGTTTGGAATAAGATAAAAGAAATTTTTGAGTAAGATGCCAAAGTGAACCATGGTATACCTTTACAACTTTGATTGTCAATTTCCAAGTTAATGTTATTTATAGCTGTTTTAAAATGCAGTTTTGATTTATAAAAAAGAGGTCTAGAAACCTCCGTTTCTGTTGGGATCTGGAACAGACGTTCATGCTTACAACTTACAACTTCGGCCCGAACAATATACGCACATGTCTGCCTCTCACTGTTTGACGGCCTTACGCTCATTTCTTTGGGGACAAGAGTAAAGATCTTGAAGGATGGATTTGTCAGTCTAGTCTTAAATTCGCAGACAATGAAATAACCAGAACCATCACCCCGAAGGCATTTATTTAAACCTTAAAGCTTTTACTTAAGGGCTGGAAACCGCCAATCCATAGGTAAGCCCCAAATACATTCAGTACGCCTAAGGCACCATGTCTTATTCCTCGTAGCCTGTGTGTGTGGCGCGGTTCCTTACTACAGGGTGTCCCCAGGGCCAGCCTGGCCTTTCCAGCAGGGGTCAACTGCACTAATGCTGGCTGCTGACCAACAAAGACCACAACAGGCTTCTTAACCCTTTTGGTGAATACAAACTCCCTTAGATCTGATATAAATTACAGAACCTCCCTCTAGAAAGTCACAGGGACGCAAATGCCTGGTACCTTGCATACATGTTCAGGAGGGGTACGGACCTGTGCACTGGGTTAGCACTAGGGTGGGGTGGCCGGAGGTGCTGCAGGTCAGGCCTACACAGGGCGGATGATGGGACTTGGCCGACTGACGGGTAACAGAAGAGATATGGTGCTGTGACCTCTGATCAGGGCTCTGGTGCAGGAAAGGGGGGTATCCCGCTGGGGGTCGGGGGAGGCCTAGGTGCTGTATTCTGATCGGGGCTCTGGTACAGAAGTGAGAGGTATCCAGATGGGGTTGGGGGGTGGCTGGGCTTGCTGAACTGTTGGTGGAGACCTGGTAAAGCCGCAGCAGCCACCTGGGGGGATAGAGGTGTGGTCCTGGTGCTCCCTACTGGGGCGTTTTTGCTTTTCCCTTTTCTGATTGTCCTGTCTGTCTTTATTCTGAAAGAAGCAAATGGTATAATCCTTGTATTTTCTTTTTAAAGCTGCATGAGTTCAGTGTTCTCTGCCTGCTTCTTTAACCTGAAATTAGTTACAAATATGTTTGGGTTCTTCAGTAACTGTTTCCTTCCAGGATTACTGATATAAAAGAAATGTCCGCCCCTCTGTTTTACTAAATAATCAAAAATTTCTCCTCTAGGCTGTAGGGTACTATGAAGAAAAACAAAAAAGACCAGCTGGTTCTCTGGCGACAAATGTAGAAAACCTTCCTTCCTTAGCTAACTGAAAATCTGAAATATGTCTGGCCTTTGGGCTCTCCACCCACCCCATCTCTCTCTTACCCCTGACCCCTACCTCAGAGCACTAAACACCCTTCCTTCCTAATTATCTTTCCAAATTCCCCACTAGTCCAGCTTCCGTGCAACTCACCCAGAGATCTTCCGTCTCAAATTCCCACGGCACATCCCTCACTTTCACTAACAAAGCTGGGTGGCTGTTCTCTTCACCCATGGCCCTCCTCTCCTTCCTGTCTCTTCTGTGATCTCCACAGGCAGCTGCCCTGAATGCGGTACTTTGTCCCCCATCACCCATTGTCTAACCCTCCTGCTGGTCTCTTCAGTGCAACTTTCACTGAACTCACTGTGGCCTTTCCTTCCCTTCTAGGCAAAGTTCTGCTACACCAGTGTGGTGCTTGGCAAACCACCTTTCTGCTGTGCAGAGCTCTCAGCTAAGGACTGGGCCGGGGCGTTTAACCTACCTTGGGAGGTGTTTGGAGCAGTCAATGCAACACAGTGTGTGGACCACTCAGAGAAGTGCCAAGGCTGAGCACATGCAGGGCCACCACACGGGCAGAGCAGCCCCACCAACTGGTCACACTCCTGCACGCCTAACCATGCTCGCCCTCACTATGGCTGTGGGCTCTCACTGTGGAAGGTGCTCCATGGACACCCAGGAGGCCTCAGAAAGACACACCTGGGGCAAGTGGGGCCTTGAAAAGAAGCTCCCCACTCACGTGATAAAAACACACATAAATGCAGAACAGGCCCGCCACACATAGGGTGGGTGGGTGGTGCACTGGGACAGAAAGCAGGTAACATGTGGACAGTGAAACATGAAAAGCACAGGCATACCGAACTTCAACAAGTCCTTTATTCCTATGAGAAATATTTTGGGATACAGAATGAGAAACAAACATGAAAGGAACAAACCCAGCAATAATGAAATTCAGTGCCCTCCCCTTTCCTATGTCCCACACATGCCATAAACTAGAGTGAGTGGAAGAGCACTGTGGGAGGGGAGGCTCTGTGGGAGGAAGGTGAGTTGCTCTCACAGCTCTGCAGCCTCTTGGTGCCGTTTAAGAACCTGGCAAATATAAAAGGATGCAGAATTATTAAAGGTCACAGACAGAAACTCTCTTCTGCTAGCTGGGGCTGGCGGCAGTCACCGTCTCTACAGACCCTCCGCTGCAGTGGAGCCTCAGACACCAGCATGCTGGGGCTGGCTGACGTCAATCTCCTCAGACCCTCCGCTGCAATTGGAGCCTCAGACACCTGCAGTGCAGTCACCGTCTCTACAGACCCTCCGCTGCAGTGGAGCCTCAGACACCTGCAGTGCCGGCCCCCGCTTTAGCTCCCAAAGTGGCATGGAAACACACGTTCATCCATCCACGCTGCCGCACTCCACTTCTGAAAAAGTACTTCTAACTACTAAAAACTCCTATGACTAACCTTTAAGAGGTCTAAATACGACGAGGTGACCAGTTCCTCAGTTTCTAAGACCTGCTGGCTAACATCCAAAGGAGAATCAGCTTGATCACTGAGCCGAGGAGGCCCCTCCACCATGCCAACTGTCACCTGTCCACAGTAAACAGTGCGACAGAAGAGGAAAAGGACAGGTCACGTGGCAAGAAGCAGGCAATCCCTGAGAGGCTGGACAGTTCTGGATAGAAAGCCCTACCTGAGCTTGTGAATTGTTAAGATGGACACAAAGGTGTCCAGGCCCATCTCCCTCCCTCATGGAGGAGAGGCAGTGGGCAGGTATGACAGGAGAGGCTGTGGGGCGGTACTTGGAGGGTGACGGCTTTGAAAGACAGTTTTAAAAACTGGACTGGGAAATATGAGTGTGACGAGATGCTGGCGAGTGGAGACAGAACACTGGAAGGAGAAGCCAGCCAACAGAACGAGACCCTGAGGAAGGGAGAGAGCAGGCACGCGGCGGCACGGGGAGGGGCGGCATGGACCACAGCAGACGGCCTCTCCAGCCTGAGTGCCTGGGTCAGCAGGCCGAGGAATTCCACCCATTGCTTCCTCTGGGAAGTCGATGGTGAAGGGGTCCTCTGCGAGTGGAGAGTAAGCGTGTGAGTTAAGGTGCTGAAGTAGAGTGAACACACCTGCAGGTGCTGCTGTGACGAACACGGGACGCTAGCCAGGTGGGGGTAGGGCTCTGCGCAGAGGCAGGCCCGGCAGGGAGACTCTGTCTGCCAAGTCAATTCAGTCCCGTGGGAGGATGGTAAGGGAGCACAACCGCTTAGCAACATGAGGTACAGAGAGCCACAGCAGGTGACACCGACTCTGGCTTCAAAGACACTAGGGGCGGGGAGGCGTCCCAAGGCAGAAGGAATTCTGTAAGCAGCAGCTTGGTGAGAGCGAAGGCGCAGCTCTGCGAGTGGCATCTGCTGGGGAGAGGCTTGAAGAGGCGCATAGCCATCCTCAGCTCAGTGGTTCTCATCTGGAGGCAGCTTTGGTTGTCACAACTGTGTGTGGGTGGGTGCTACTGACACCTAGTGGGTAGAGGCCAAGGACACTGCAATGCCCACACCCCCAAACAATGACCTGGTCCCAAACATCGACAGTGCCAAGGTGGAGAAACGCTGCTCTAGGTTAAAGACTGTCACAAGTACTGCTTATGTATACAGTTAATTTGTACCACACCTGACAACTGCACTGTTGCTACGTGGCAGTGAGATGGGGTGCTGTGCCGAGCAGGCTGTGTGGTGCAGTCTAGGGAAAGTTACAGCTTGGTGACGCAGGGGGTGTCAGAGGAACAAACAGCCGCTCAGTTCCACAGCAACAGGGAAAACTCTACACTCAGCCAGGGCAGTGAGCACGGATAGTAACACAATGACCCAGTACTGAAAGACAGCTGAGTGACAGTACCATAGAGGGTGCAACGAAAGAAGTATGCCAAAAATTCTAACACTCATAAGCAGACCACAAACACAAACCACTTCTATGGTGGCAGGTGCGGCTGCAGAAATGGTTCAGATCAACCATGGCCTGGACCTTGCTGGAGGGCGTGGCCTTGCAGCATCAGAATCGGGCAGGAACTTATAATACAAGTGCATACACCTGGCCTCCGCTCGGGATGTTTCTGAAAGCCTCCTAATGACTCTGATGCACAGTCACATCTGGAAAGCACTGAACTAAATTTTAAGAAGAGGGACAGACGTCAGGCTCACGCCTGTGATCCCAGCACATTAGGATGCTAGGGTGGGAGGATTACTTGAGGCCAGGAGTTCACAGCAGCCTGGGCAACATAGTGAGACCTCAACTCTACAAAAAATAAAAATTATACAAAAGGAAAAAGATAACTCCAAATGAAACTGTGGAAAAGTCAACACTGAAGGGATGAAGATAATGGGATGAAGCTCCCAGAATAACCTACTTTAGGCCGAGCCTCTCCTGAGGACCCCCTCATTTTAGTAATGCCCATGAGTGGTTTTGGAGGCCCTCATTTTTAGGTACCATATGGTTCTAGAGGATCCTGGGCTGAAATAGCAAGACAGAATTTGGAGAGCCTTGGCTTCTCCTGGTCATTCCAGTGTTGAAGCAGGCAAGTGTGGATGACGCCTCCCTGTGTCCCGCTGGCCCTTCTTCTGATTTGCACTTGCGTGTGCATTTCCTTTAGCCTCACGTTTAGACCATCAATGACTGCATGTGAAGGAAGACTGGTTGTTCCATAGTTTAATTTTCTATAGGACAGCCTACATTTATAGATTTTCCTTTATACATAAACTAGAATGACTTGACTTCTAGAATCTTGGATTTCTGTTTCAGTATATGTAATTCTTCTTCAGTTTGATTTTTAAAAAATAAAAAAAAAACAGATTTTCCTAGACTCAAAATAGATACTTTGTAAGTAAAATAAGACCGGTAGCTTCATGGAGATAACAACTCACAATTATTTTATTAATTCACATGCTCCATATTATAAGGCTGGAGTTGTGTGGATGTCTTTTAAATAGACGGGAGAAGAGGCAAACTCTTTGGTTTTAGGCTTCTTGGCAGGTGATTTCCTATTTATCCAACTGACACTCAGAACTGTGTATCTTGGTTTCATACTCCCCAGCTCGAGAGGAGCCACGGGAGAAACCAACATGCTGTTTCCAGGGCACCCAGGCACAGGCGAATCTTCTCCTCACGGAGGGAGGCCTGGGTCCTATGTGGGGAGCACGACATTAAAGGCAGGCCTTGACACAGCTCTGAATGTGCAGCCCTGGAACCTGCTATTGGCTCACCATCCTTCACTGTACAACAGGGAAAAAACACCCTCTTAGGACTGCTGAGAGAATTATAGGAGAAGGTGAGTATAGTCTGCCCAGAGCAGAGCACCTGAACCACAGCAGGCACAAAGCAGGTATCAGTTCTCTCCATTTTGCATAATCCAGGTTTAGAAAAATATTTAATCCAAGTCCCCAGAACTGTTGTACCCAAAGCCAGGTGAGCTCGATGGAAGTCTCATTGAAGGGCCTAGCGATGTAGTCTAAGATGGATAGGAACAAGGAACTGTTTTTGAAACCTACATGAATCACAAATCAATGCCGAACACAGTGACTCACGCTTGTAATCCCAACATTCTGAGAGGACAAGGCAGGAGAACTGCTTGAGTCCAGGAGTTCATGTTCAGCTGTGGGCAACACAGCAAGAATCCCATCTTTAAAGAAAACAGGCCGGGCACGGTGGCTCACGCCTGTAATCCCAGCACTTTGGGAGGCTGAGGCGGGCAGATCACCTGAGGTCAGGAGTTCGAGACCAGCCTGGCCAACATGACGAAACCCCATCTCTACTAAAAATACAAAAATTAGTGGGGTGTGGTGGTGGGTGTCTGTAATCCCAGCTACTCGGGAGGCTGAGGCAGGAGAATTGCTTGAACCCAGGAGGCGGAGCTTGCAGTGAGCTGAGATTGCACCATTGCACTCCAGCCTGGGTGACAGAGCGAGACTCTGATTCAAAAAAAAAAAAAAAGAAAGAAAGAAAGAAAGAAAACAAACGTCAAAAGACAACTGAAACCATAGAACAAGAATTCTCAACCTCAACACTCCTAGGCTGTGCCTGGGGAGTCCGGAGGCCGCGTGCACGTCGCATACTGGCTACACTAGGAAGGCTGTGCAGCCTGCACCTGCTGAGCAGCACCACTCCCTGCCGGCCGCAGCCCCATGGCCAGCAACGCACAGCAGACGTGGCCTCCAGAAAGCCGCGGGGTGGGGGGCACTCAAAAGCAAGGGAGATGCCCACTCTGAAAAGGAGGCATACAAAGCATATTAATATCATTCTTTTTCAAACAAATGAAGTTGACATACTTGCAGGGGAGAATTCGGACGACATCATTCTGCTTATAGCTCTCTATGCAGACTGCGCAATGATCAAAGTCTGGGTCAGTTTCCTAAAATGAAAAGTACAGAAACAAAAGTCACATGCTGCAAGTAGACAAATGGCTGGGATGCGATTCAGCTCAGAATCTTTCTGTGGCTACTATGGTAAGCAAGTGTTATAAAGTGAAAAATGATTAAAATTAATTTGTTTTTATTTGTCTAACTATATTGGCCCAAATTATGTCTAAGCCAATCTATTTTGTTTTTAAAATTATAACAATCTGTATTAATTCTGTTTATGATATGTCTTACAAAAATTAAGTTGTAATTCTAATTTTTTCAACGTTAGAATAAGCTTGGACCATCATGATCTCCCTGTCCCTCACTGCCCCTGTACTACTTATTGGTCTGAAGAGGTTTCACTGCTATGTTTGACAGTCTAGAAACTCACCAGGATGCTCACTTAAAGACACACCTAAGTACAGACAGGAAAGATGGTGAGTTGAGTCCCAGCAGACTGCTAGAAACCCACTCCAAGAATGGGAGCTGTGAATCTGGTCACAGATTGGGTATGGAGAAGAGTCACTGGCTCAATTCAATACTTGGTCTTCATCAAGAGTGAGAAAGAGTCAGCCAGGTATTTAGACACCAAATTAATTGAATTCCTTCCTCCTAGGACTGAGAAGGGGTTTTGCAAAAGTTGTCATAAAACAAAACACGCCATAAGCCAGGAAAACAGACTGTTTGCCATGTCATTGTCACTTGGACTGAAACTCAGTGGACAACTCTTGCCAGGTCTAGCAGGTACAAACTAAGATGAATTGGCTTTAATAATTAAAGGAAATAACTGTGCTGGCCTGGGATATGATGTAAGATGGGTAGGTTAAATCTGCTCCAGGGAATTTCATCCTAATGTGGCAGCTGAGGCTACCAGGCCAAGAACACATTTACACTGTTACACTGGTTACCACTCCTCTGCCACTGAAATGCAAGCTGTTTTGATGCTACTTATATTTTCTTGAGTAATTTCCCCCCTTTTCTGTTTCCTTGGTGCACAATAAAGTTCACTAAGAATGTCTCCACCTTCTGAGTTGTTTCAAAGGCAACTAGATACGGTGGTATCAAGGCAATGGGAATACAATGGGTAAAGTCCAAGAAACTGGTAAAACTTAGGAAGACAGAGAATCATATGAAATTATTCTTCCAGGCACAACTCTGTGCTTAAATGTTAGAATTGGGTGTGGGGCAGGAGACAGTTTTGGTTTCATGCCTTTTGAGATTCCATTTTCCCATTCTAGAAAACCTTGAACACTCTGAATGTAGGGGCAGCACTAAGGTGCGGCTGTGTCCTTCTAGCGGAGAAGCAGGGCTCTACTGTAACTAGAGCTCTGAGAGGGGGATGTCAGTCACAGGTCTCCACCACAGCAGCCTGACACTGCCTCTCTCCCCGGTCCTCCAAGCCACCAGCGACGACCCTTTCCTTTGGTGCACAATAAAGTCTACTAAGAATGTCTCCACCTTCTGAGTTGTTTCAAAGGCAACTAGATACGGTGGTATCAAGGCAATGGGAATACAATGGGTAAAGTCCAAGAAACTGGTAAAACTTAGGAAGACAGAGAATCATATGAAATTATTCTTCCAGGCACAACTCTGTGCTTAAATGTTAGAATTGGGTGTGGGGCAGGAGACAGTTTTGGTTTCATGCCTTTTGAGATTCCATTTTCCCATTCTAGAAAACCTTGAACACTCTGAATGTAGGGGCAGCACTAAGGTGCGGCTGTGTCCTTCTAGCGGAGAAGCAGGGCTCTTACTGTAGACCAGAGCTCTGAGAGGGGATGTCAGTCACAGGTCTCCACCACAGCAGCCTGACACTGCCTCTCTCCCCGGTCCTCCAAGCCACCAGCGACGACCCTGACACGCTCTGACACCGCCTCTCTCCCGGTCCTCCAAGCCACCAGCGACGACCCTGGACACGCTCTGACACTGCCTCTCTCCCCCGTCTCAAGCCACCAGCGACGCACTCCTGACACGCTCTGACACTGCCTCTCTCCCCGTCCTCCAAGCCACCAGCGACGACCCTGACACGCTCTGACACTGCCTCTCTCCCCGGTCCTCCAAGCCACCAGCAACGGCCCTGACACGCTCTGACACTGCCTCTCTCCCCGGTCCTCCAAGCCACCAGCGATGACCCTGACACGCTTTGCTCTTCTTTCAAACTGCTCAACCCATTGTAAAGAGAGCCCTTTTTAAGGTGAAACTCCCTAGAAATACAGGTCTTCAATTCTCCATGTAATTAGTGAAAAAATAAAACAAGAGACACAGCAAAGTCCCAGGAAGCATAGGAAGAAAACACACATCTCCTGGCTTTTTAACGCACAAATGGTCCCACTAGAATTCTCTGAAAATGTATGCTAGGTTTTAGCAGAAGAAAACTCTGTAGGAAAACACAGCTAGAGTTACTGTAAGAAAGTAGTTTAAAATAAAGCATTAGGTAGTATAGTTGGGAGAAAATCTAACAAATGAAATGTAAACAATTAGGGTGTGTCCTCTCCCACCAAACAAAAACAAAACTGTTTGATTATTTTTACAGTGCTAAAGCTAGTTCATTACTGTACCTTGTCACCCTTCTTTACTGTCCTGGTTGTCAATTTACTGATGGCTTTCTTAGCTGCATCTCCAAGACGACGCTGTGAAAATTGCAAATAAAAACAGATATTAAGTGTAAGGTCCCTGAATGACGTACTTTATTTCTAAGCAATTAAAAGTATAAAGTCTCCATTTTACTACATTCCTCTCCATGTCCTACATATAAGAGAATGATAAAAATTTTTTTTTTAGATAGAAAAACTGGTGGCTGTGCCACAGATTCAGCATTCTGGTTGAATAATAAAAAGTGTTAGAGCACCCTGTTAGGTCATACTCCCTAGAAATACAGGTCTTCAATTCTCCAGCAGTAAAAAAGTCAGGTGTCATAATTGCTGCATTTTGTGTTGAATAAACATTTGAAATATCACAGCATTATCAAACCTACTTCTTGTACACTCCAGAGCTCTAATGGCTTTTGGATTCTGCTCAAGGAATGATCACCATGAGGTGTGTAAATGCCGTCTTAGAAAAGGGAAACCCTGACTGCTCCTTGAAATTGCTCATCACATCATCAAGCGTGAAGAGAAGGAACGCGTCACAGCTCTACTTCTGGCTCTACTATACTATCCTCTGTCATCCTAGGAAGCTGTATTTACCTTCCAGGGTTGAGCTGTTTTCATTATCTCTAAGGGTGAGGTCAGAGAATCTCCAGGGCTGGATTTATGCAACATTCTCCCAGATACTGCTAGCACTTCTTGGCACCAACAACCCAAAGATGAAGAGATGGTGATCCCTACCCTTGAAAAGCTCACTGAACTGGGAACAGTTACATTAATGGTGAACCCTCAAACATGCCCAGGGCCAGGTGACGCACAGAGGAGGCGACTGGGGGGGTGGGGCGAGGCAGGGGAGGAACATCAAGGAAGGTCTTGAGGAGTCGAGGCCTGGGTTAAGACTGGGAAGGGGTGAGATGGGAAAGGCATAGGGTTAGGAGGCGGTTCCGGGTGTAGGGATAGGAGGAGGTTCCAGGCAAAGTCATAATCTGGTAAAGATAAATAGGTGTAAAGAACAGGTATGTGAAGAAAACTAAGGAGAGCACCTGCTTTCCTGTTCAAATTAGAAAAGCTTTGTGAATCACAGGGTCCTAGAACACTCACACTGGGACACGGGGCACAAACTGGGACTGTCCCTGGCACACCAGGGAGACGGTCACTCTAGACACATCCGTGCCCCACACTGCGGGGAAGGCAGATGCTGCTCCTGCACCAAAACAACAGAGACCCTAAGAATGTTAAAAACCCATACAAACATGTAAGAAAAAATGTAGGGGAAAGTTTTAAATACACAAAAGAACAGAGAATAATTTAATAAAGCCTTCCCTATGTATCGAGCATCCGGCTTCAGTTACCAGAATTTTACTTCTAGTTTTCATCTGTTTCCCCTCTTTATTGTGTTAGATGATTCTGAAGCATATCGCAAGCATCACATCATTTCAGCCATAAAATTCTCACTAAGCACCTCTAATAGATACGGGCGTTTGTTAGATGCCATTATCTTTCCTAACAAAAGTAACAATGATTAATCAACGTTATCCAATACTCACACTATACTACAAGTTCCCTAGGTGTTTACAGAACGTCTTTAAGTAGCTGGCTTGTTTGAATTGAGATATAAAATCCACACACCGTGTGTGGCTGCTCTGTCTTCGAAGCCTAATCTATGAGTCCCCTCTATCACGCTGATTTTAAACCGCCTTATGGAGATAGAATTGATGTAAAATAGACTGCATATATTGAAAATCTACACCTTGACATATATTTAAAGTTACAGTTTGAAGTTGCATATGAAATCTACACTTTTGTTTTCATGACCTATGAAAACCTAGCTACAATTAAGACAGTGCATCGATCATATCCCCAAATTTCTTTGCGCCCCTTCCTAATTCCCTCCTCCCGCCACACCATCCCTCCATGATCTACTTTTTGCTATAGCAGTTTGCAACTTCAGGAATTTTATATAAATGGAATAGATACAGTATGTACCACTGTGTGTAGGCTTCTTTCACTCAGCATGATTGTCTTGAGATTAATCCACCTTGGTGCACGTTTCAACAGTTAACTCCTTTCTAATGTTATCTAGTATCCCACTGAAGAAATGGCCCACAATATCCTTTCACCTGTTGATGGGACATCTGCATTGTGGTCCAGTTTTTAGCTGTACTGAAAAGCTGACAACAATATTCTTTAGTTGTATGAAGACTGTGCAATTCTTTGCATGGACATATGCTTTCTTTTTTCCTGAGGTAAACACAACAAGTAGAAAGATGGGCTCACCTGACAGGTGTCTGACTTTTATTTAAAAGACTGCCAAAGTGTTTTCCAAACTGAGCATACTATTTTACATTTGCACCAGTAATGTGCAACTATAATGGTTCCTCCACATTCTCACCAACACTTGGTATGGTGAGTTTTTGTGGTTTTTGTTGGTTTGTTTTTGTTTTTTTCTGAGACAAGGTCTTGCTCTGTCTCCCAGATTGGAGTACAGTGGTGCAAACATGGCTCACTGCAGCCTCGACCTCTGGAGCTCACTCAAGTGATTCTTCTGCTTCAGCCTCCTGAATAGCAGGAACTACAGGGGTGCACCACCATGCCCAACTAATTTTTTTATTTTTATTTTTGTAGAGACGAGGTCTCACTATGTTGCCCAGGCTGGTATCAAGCTTCTTGGCTCAAGCAATCCTCTTGCTCTGGCTTCCCAAAATGCTGAGATTACAGGTGTGAGTCACAGCACCCAGCCTCCTTACAGTTTTAATTTGCATTTTCCTATTGTAATGATGTTGACCATCTTTTCCTGTACATATCGGCCATATGTACATTGTCACTGGTGAAGTGTCCGTTCATGTTTTTTGCCTGTATTTCCGAGTTGTTTTCTATTATTGACTTTTGAGAGAACATTACATATACCAGATAAAAATCCTTTTGCATGTATTTTCCCTCACTTTATGGCAATTTTGAAGTCAATCATTTTTTCATGTGGTAGATTGTGCTCTAGTATATTAAGGAATCTTTGCCTATTTCAGGGTTACAAAGACATCTCCCTGTTTTCTCTTCTAGAAGTTTTATGGTTTTATACTTTGTATTTAGGGTTCTGACTCATTCTGTGTATTCTGTCAGGTACAGATGAATTTTTTTTTTTTTTTTTTTTTTTTGCATATGGACATACAATTGGTCTAGAATAATTTGCTGAAAAGGTTGTCCATTCTCCACAGAATCACCTTTCCAAATCTGTCAAAAATCAATTGTACATAAATGTGTGGGTCTATGTGCAGACACCATGCATCTATTTACCATTAAGGAAAGACAATCCTGTCCTGATTTCTGAAGCTTTGTAATAGGTCTGAAATTAGGTGGTGTTAACCATCCCACATTTCCTTTCTATTCTAACATCCTTGTGGTTTTTCTTGATATTTTGCGCTCCCATATGAACTTTAGGATCAGTTTGTCCATCTCTATGATAAAAGACATCACGGATTTACAATGAGATTGTGCTGAATGTATACATCCACTTGGGGAGAATGGGCATCTTAATAACATTAAGTTTTCCACTCAACACTGTGTATGTGTCTCTTTACTTACTTAGTTCTCTACCTACTTAGTTGATTAATTTCTCTCAGCAATAGTTAGTTTTCACTATATAGGGCATATTGCATATTTTGTCGGATTTACTGTTAAGAATTTCCTATTTGTTGATGCTATGGAAAATGGGATTTCTTAAAATTTAACTTTCTTAGAGATGCAGTCTTGTTATGTTGCCCAGGCTGGACTCAAACTCCTGGGTTCAAATAATCTTCCAACTCAGCCTCACAAGTAGCTGGGACTATAGGTGTGCACGATCTGCTTGATGAAAATGGATTTTTAAAAACCAATTCTTCATTACTCATATATAGAAATAAAATTAATTCTTTTATATTGATCTCGTATCATGGAATCTTGTTAAATCTGTTGGTATTTTCATAGATTCCAACATATTTTCTACACGAAATTTCTACAGAAAATAATGTTGTCTGTAAATGAAGGCAGCTTACTTCTACATTTCCACAATGGATGCCTTTTACTTCTTTTCCTTTTTATTTACTGTGCTGACTAGAATCTAAAGAACAACACAGAAACAGAAGTGACCAGAGGACACATTCTACTCTTGTTTTTAATGTTAGAAAAAAGAATTTAGTTGTTCACCATTAAATATAATGGTAGCTGTCAGTTTTTCATAGATGCCCCTAATAGTTTGAGGAAAGTTTTAAAATCAGGAATCGATGTTGGACTTTAGCAAGTATCTTTTCTCCATCTATTGAGATCATAGAGTTTTAACTTTTTTGGCCTGCTAATATGGTAATAATACATTAATTTTTGAATGCTAAATGAAACTTACATTCCTAGAGTAAACACCACTTAGTCATGATGAATTTATACATATTGTTGAATATAATTTGCTAAATTTTTGTTTAGAATTTTTGCATCTACATTCAAGAGGGGAACTGGTCTGTAGTTTTGTTTTGTAGTATTTCTGTCTAGTTTTGGTATTAGGAATGATACTGGTGCCATACAATGAAATTGGAGGTATTCCTGCCTTTTCCACTTTCTGTATAAGTTAAGCATTTGAAATCAAAATCTGAAATGCTCCAAAGTATGAAACACTGTCAGTGCCAACATGAAACTCAATGGAAATGCTCACTACAGCATTTTGAATTTCAGAATTTTGGATTTTGTATGCTGAAATGGTAAGTATAATGCAAATATTCCAGAATCTGAAAAACTTCTGGTCCAAAGCATTTTGGATAAAGGGTACTCAACCTATAGTTTGTTTGATATTGTTATCACAGCTGCCCCTTGAACAACATGGAAGCACCCATCTCCATCAAGTCATCTCCTATTAATTACTCTGGTGTAGTATCTATTTGTTCTTCAATTTCTCCAACATCCTTATCTTGAAACCCTTTACCCCCTGACTTTCTTTTGTCATATCCACAATCTGCTTCATGATTTCCTTGACTGGCTCTATCATAAATCCTGTGAACTGATGTACAATGCCTGAACACAGTTTT